TCCCAGGCCTTTAAATTTGAGCTTGACCACGTGACTTGCTTTGACCCATGGGGCATTCAAGTATTGCACACTGGGGTTTGCCTGGGGCCTGACTGGGAAAACTGAGGCCACCATGTGAAGTAGCCTTCACTGAAGCAGTGAATTTTAACCTTGTTTTCAATCTACTCTACACTGTTTATATGTATAATACTCCCCCCTACCCCCACCAGTTAGAAACATCTCTCATTTCAGCAGTGATTCTCAGTGGTGTGTACTGGAATCATGTGGTGGGAGGGGTCATATCTAATTTGACTACAGTTCTCAGGAGATTCCAACATACTCTATGACTACAAAGTGAAAATCACGCTACTAAGTTTCATGGATCAATGAATGAACAGTTTACGCAGCCTGGGGAGCTAACAAGTACCACTAAGAAAGTGACATTTAGCCAGATCTGAAAAGGAAGAGTAAGTATTCATCAGATGGAGAAGTGCAGGGAGTATATGTCAAAGAAAATAGTATGTACAAAGGCAAATCTTGTGTCCAAAATGACTGATTTTAAATGGTAATTTCTTTCCTTTCTATACAATTGAACATACACTCTCTAATGTCTAAATCTGGCTGGTAGAGCATTATTTCTAAGTAAATCTATAGAATATACTTTGCAGGGTCAAGAGTTTACAGAGAGGTCATTCAGATAAATTATCATAATTGTCACCTTTCCTCAAAATACTCTTATTATCAGGTAACTGCTTTAAACATTATCAAGTCATTTCCATCTAAATCTCATTCCCTAGAGTAAGTTCCACACAGGTAACAATAGGATTTGGTGATTATTTTACTTGCCTCCATTGTCAGTTTCAGTAACTCTAAAATCATGTTGACTTTATGAAATTTAATCTAACTCTGGTTTTGAGATACCTGTTCATGAGCCTCTCTTGAAAGCATTGATATCAATCAAGATCTAATACCTGATTCTCATATATACAGAATTGTTAGTATTTTCCTTAAAACCCACACATACTCCCTCACAGTAAATAAATTTCTGAATGAAACTATTGCCTAAAAATTCTTCTGTAATTGTCTTCAGTGGAGCATGTAGTACACCTTTTCCTCACACGTAATAGGTTTAATCTTTAATAGCATCATCTTCAACAAACAGGTGCAAACCCTTGTCTGCCCTCGGGAAAGACCAGCCAATGAGAAGTTATTCTGGTGATGTAATGCTTGTTAACTATCTCTCAGACATGATTGGGGAAGATGCTCTTCAGAGCATCAAACATGTATTGAATTTAACTCTCACATGACCGAGTTTAGCTCATAAGCCGCTTCTGGTACTTCATAAACATGTCACTTAGGACAGCCTTGAAATAGTTATGCAAAATCCTTAGACTAGAGAATTTCTTTTAAGCATTGGCATCTGTACCCACTGGTATTGGCCAATGATAATTTCTCATCTCTCTTGAGAAGTCACTTCCATATCTTGGTCCTTATGTAAACAGACAAAGAATACATTAACACTAGCCAGCAGCAGAAAAATTTAACATTTCTTTCTCAGATGTAGAACCTAATGAAAATCAAATTCAAAGTAATAGAGATCTTATATTTTTTAAATCAGATTCATCACAGTCTGCCTCTCATGACTGTGTACAAACTTCTTCTTCACATCTGCCCAGTTTATTTCAAAGATAAAACTATTTGAAACAAGTATTTATATAACCAGGTGTGTTCACAGTGACGTCATAAACTTCTGCCTAGTGAGTAATTTACAGGGCTCTGTTGATGCAACTAAATGCTTATGAATGTCCAGAGAAGTCCTCGCCCAGGTCAGGTAAAGACTATCACATAGTCTAATTCTGTGAAGTGATAGACAGGACAGGATAGATGTGTGTTAGCTTCCACAGTAAAGTATGCAAAACTACAGACACCGAGCTACAAATTTCGGGTAGGTATTATTTCATGCAACAGCTTATTCTCATTCCCTATTCCTCCACCTCAAACCTCACTTTTTGAGCAAAAGAATGCAACAGTAAGCATGTTGTGAAAAACATAATTTGAAAGAGGAGGGTATAATACCAGATCAGTGGTTTATCTGATCTGAATCTCACCCAAAAAAGAAAGCAACTCAGACTGCTCAGCCAGCTGAAATTGGAAGTGCTGGATATAATTCAAAGATGATGAACCATGAGTACTCACAGTAAAATTGTAGGAAAATTACTATATTAGAACTCCCCCCCCTTTGTTTCTTTTTTCAAAATATCCTCTTAACCCTTTGGGAAAAATGAGTTAATTTGGGGCACATGAGCCCTTCTTGGGGCTTTTCAACTTGTTCAGGTCATGGTAATACAGTTGCATTGGGATGAGATAGAATTATGGAATCATACCATGATTCAAACCTAGCTGTGAATAATGTCTCTACCATATTAGAAAATGGTAAGTCACTTTAACTTCAGTGAGCCACACTTTCTTCAGCTATTAAAATGAAATAATTAAATATTAATTATTAAAATGATGTGTATAAAGTTCTTGGCAAGTAGTCAAGTGGCTATGGTTATTACTATTTTTCCATATATACATAATTCCAAGCCACTTCATTTTTCAAAGCTGAAAACCAAATTATATAAAAAATTATTGTATACCCAGAATGGATTCCCAGTTTTATCTAACTTTTGATTGTGAAATAAACCATTTTATTTTTCATTGAAGATTTAGTTTGTACTTGATTCTTAATTTGCCGTATTATTCAGTAGTATTCTATCTATTAATATTTCAAAGTGCTCTACAAATATATGATTTTACATACTGTCAGTGTAAATAATAGTAGTATAGTATATTTCTTCTAGAGATCTGCTGAAATTTTTAAAGGCATTACTTCTCTAATCCTATAGAAAAGGTTCTGGAAGGCATTGTTCATGCCATCAAGTCAGCTTATTGGAAAATGAAAAATGCAGTTTGTCACCATCATGCAAAATATGTAGTTTGAGAATTTCAGTAAATTAACTTGAACTAAATTGTTTTGATGTTGTTTGTATCTAGTCAAAAGCACTGACACATTCCTGCAAATTGATTTTAGACTTTAAATTTCAAGGGCTATTTAGTTCACATTATCGTTAATTTACTGAATGCCTCACCTGTGTATGGAGACGTTCTCAGATTAAAAATGACAACAATAATCACCACGAGACTTAGTTTCTGCCTTCTTGGTGCCGGTGTCTAATTAAAGGAACAGCACAGTGTGGTAAATTCCATAACAGAGTTTGGTATAAAATGACTGGAAACATAGATGGTGGCACTTTTAATTCAATGCTGGAGGGGTGAATTTTTGAGAAAAATGATGGACAGGTAACATTTTATTGGCTTTTAAAGAATTCTATAAGGAATTTCTTATTTGGATAAGGTAGCAGCGTATTCCAGATAGAAGGAATAACGAGAGCAAAGGAAGAAAGGAATGATAATTTGTAGCTATTTATGAAATAGCTGTTGACCTAGCCTAGTGTTTCTAAAGGATAGAGTACATTGGATAGAAGTATGGCGGGAAAAGGACATGCTTCATGTATAGAGGCACATTTTGGAAAACTAACATATTACCTTCTAGATCACAGCATTCTTATCTTTTCTTTGTTATATGCCATGAGAAGATTCATGATATACACTAGCTGGATTTTGTGTGTGTGTGATGCCTTCAAGCTTATCTGGAGTTTTCTTCAAGTAAAAGAATATTATTCCTTTGCTTTTCCTATTATTAAAAAATACTGCATTATACCAATACACTTAAAATAAGGTAAATGTAAATTTTACAAACCATATTTCAAGAAGGCAATATAAATTGTACAAAAGTAATGCTTAATTAAGATTTAGGGAACATCTACTGATTTCATTTATGTAGAAGCATATACGAGCAAACTTGTAAAGGCAATACATCTAAATAGCATGTGATTGATAAGGTCAGCGTATGCATTAAAGAAGTATTGTCTATGCTAACTTTGTACTAAAAGAGTTATCTGGGAAAAGTTCATTATTCTTATTCACACGGTGAAACACTAAACCAGGAGGTCAATTCATGAAACCATTCACCTGTAATATTGTGGGTGTGAGAACATTCTTAAATAAAACTTGATAAAAATTCTCTGCCATTTTCTTTGAGTATATTCACTGAATAAGAAGTCTTCATTCATACCTTAGAACAGGACTATGTGTACTTGCTCAGTTAATTTTAATATGTTTAATGATTTTTATTAGACTTGCAGTGGAATGTATTATCCACATATACGTGATACTGTTTTTATAACAGGACTATTCTAATTAAACGGATGATATGTGTTGAACTATCTATATCCTGTATCCCCTTTGTGACCAATATCATGTATTTTAGAAGTAGTTAACTGGAATTACATGTAGTTGGATAAATCATGGGGTATAGATTTTCATTATGTGAAACTAACTGAGCTGCATAGAGATTCATCCTACAGTGTTGGCCTCTTTGTGTTCTTTCTATACACATTAGATATCATACACAGAAGTGTGTGTGTGTGTGTGTGTGTGTGTGTGTGTTATAGTCTACTTCATTCTAAAAATGATTTGAGGATGTTAGGGTTATATGTGTAGTGCAGAAAAATCCACTGTATTCTGTTAATTAAACAAGGGAGCCATTCGACTGAGATGGCTCTAATGCCCTGGCTGCCTATGTAAGCAAACCAAAATCTGGCTTGTAGATTTTGCCTCAAGGTTACAAAATCAAAATCCAAGGACAACCAATCACAAACAGCCAACTAGGCTTAAAGCTATAACCAATCAATGATGTCCTTGCTTTGCTTCCACCTTTTCTCTGTAAGTCTCTCCTGTCGGTGGAAGCCTTCCTAGCTATACTTCAGGTTTGGCACTGCCCGATTAGACTCCATTTTTGCTCAGATAAACTCTTAAATTTTTTAAATGCTTCAGGTTTAACAGTTCAGTATGTTTAAAAATATGAAATTCTCAGAAAAAAATAAAAAATAAAGAATCCTTTCTGTTTCCTCCATCAGCTGTTAAGAAGAAGGCTAGCTTTATCACTCCAGTTCCAGGAGGCGTGGGACCCATGACAGTGGCAATGCTTCTCAAGAACACCCTTCTGGCAGCTAAAAAAATCATTTACTAGATCACATGAAAGAATAAAGCAAACTGAAGTCATGCTACGTATCTATTTGACAAAAGGCAAAAAACCTTTATATTTTACTACAAAGCTATTTCTACATTGTATTTATTTTTTTCACAGATGGAATCATTGTGGATCAGATGATTCACACAATCTTACGCATTTCCTGCTAATAATTACTGAATATTTTGAGTGGATATTGAGTTTTAGGAAAAGAAAACAAAACAACTGCAATGAAAACTTTGGTAACAATTGTTTATTTTGTGATTAATATTTGTTCATAACGTTAAAACTAATAAAGGGCTCATAATAAATGCATATATTTTTGACACAAATAGTGTGTTTTCAACAAACATTTTGTCAGACAAATAAGCTCCCTTGTAAAATGTAGTTTAGGTTTTGCCATAATTATGGCCAATTTTTATATATTTTATGTACTATATCATATGATGAAAAAGAGTTTATTTGCTAAAGGAAAGATAAAATATTAAAAATAAAATTTTGATCTCATATACTTCCCAAATGCATCCTACGAGGCATACTAATGAGAAATGATGCTCCGTTCGAAGAAAGAAAAACATGCAAGGAAGGCAAAAAATGCAGTGCTACTTGGAAAGGTATTGATTATTTCAAACGGTGAATGACTACTTGCCAAGTAAAAATGCAATAAGAATGTGTCAGGTTTACATGTAATTTCTTTGTTCTTCTAGAAAAATATTTGGATAATACCTTCCTTGAAGAATAATGGAAACTCCAAAACCAAACAAATATACAAAACAAAACTAAGGTTGTATTTTCCCACAAATATCAGGAAAACACAATATAGTATGAATGAGGACTTCATTAAAGAATAGAAGTTATGTTTGTTCACAAATCTAGAAATCTAATAGAAAAATATGACATAATGTGCCCAAGCTAAGCCTTATGATATGACTAAAAATCTATTGCTTTGTTACTCACAGTTCTTCCTTCTTCTCTTATAGCATTTGGTTCTCAAAGTAGATGCCATGTTTCTAACACAATTTAAATTAGAAAAAACATGTGACTGTCCGTTGAAGGCTATTTTGAGACTACCCTGGGCATATAATTTCAGGCCCAAATCCCAGTCTGTTTATGTACCAGTAATGATTCTTACCCAGTGCATGTCGTTATTAGTGTATACTCTTGATCATTTGTGTGAAAATAGACTAGAATGTTTATAATTAATATTTCAACTGTATAATAAAACCAGTTTGGAAAGGAATACCTGTCTTCTTTTTCTTTAAGCTATCTGTAAGTTTCTTTGTTCATATATTTGTTATCTGTTTCTTCAGAGCATGCTGGGGAAATGTACAAGTTCCTCAAACATGAAAGAAAAGGTTCTATAGCCCATTCCAGATCAATCTTTGTCTAATAACCCTGATAAAAGTTTAAATTTAAAGCTCCCAAGCAAAAATTTCAGAAAGACCCTCTTTTTAATATTTAAGTGCCCCACATTCGCAAAACAAACATAATGACCCAAAATACATTTACATGGAAAAGGTGAAGTCTGTAATTTTGAGCTTCCTCCTCCCCCACCCCCAAATGCAGGAGGAGTTATTTTTTGGAAATATTTTTCCCCTTTGGTGAGGCTAAAATTCAGGAGTGAGCCTTTCCAGAGACCAATTAAAACACTATAAAGGAAAAATTATCTAACATTTGTTAAAAATATGAGGACAACTTTATTCAGGACTATTGCAATGGGGTCGAGACTATCACAATAGAAGAGATTGAAAACTCTAAATATAGCTGAGACAGCAATGGATTTATAGGCAATGAAGACAGTGAGGGGATCAGTAGATGGGAAATTACCGAGAGGAGCTTGATTAGACAACAAGACTAGAGGGATTCTTGTAAACTAGCTTACCAGGATTCTTGTTACAGTTAGGCCAGATATCAAGGGTGGGAGATAGGGAACTTGATCAGATATGGCAGGGACAAGGGTGCAAGGAGCAGGGCAGGGGGATTCTCCATAAACTAAGCAGATTTCTTTGCTAAAACTGGGCTCAACAGGCTAAGATGATGCCTAGTTGAGAAAAGGAGTAGGAGAAGTCTAAAGTTTGGTCAAGAAGGGAGCCTTTGTCAACACATAAAGGAAATAAAGTTGGTTCATTGTTATCATGACTTTACTTATGCATATTTGGGGTCTATAAAAGACATATGATTGTCTTGTGGAGGAGGTTTGGAGAAGTAAGTTCTCTTCTACACGTATCTGTAAAAAGGACCCCGAAGAATTAATGAGGACTGAACAATAACATGAAGATATGGAGGTGAGAATGAGCTTAGCATATATATATATATATATATATATGAAAGCAAGGGCTACAGTCAGACTGAAATGAAAAGTGTGTGTTGCAGAGTGGTGGAAATACAGCTGGAAAACAGCAGAAGTAGATTAGAGAAAGCCTGGATAAATCAGAATTTAGACTATATTTACTCAGTGATGAGAGTTGTAGTTAAAGCCTAGAAGACGTTATCACTGATTATCATGAGGAAGTTGTAAAGAGGAGCTTATTTTGGAGAAGAGATATGTTCAGTTTGACATGTTGAGTTTGAGGTGATGGCATAATACATAAATAAAAGTCCTGACATAGTATCAGTCTGGTATGAGAATAATTCATGGCTAATGATGAAAACTTAAGATGCATCAACATGTGTTAACTGCTAAATTCCTAACCTTGATTGACCACTATATACACCCTGCATCTTCCTACACTTGTTTGATAGTAACAGCTCTCTTTAATTGAGCACCTATCATGTGCTAAATGCTTTACCTTTTTGTTATTGTTGTTACTGACAATCCACATTTGATATATGAGGAAATCAACCCTTGAGGTTATTAAAAAGTCTCAGCAAAGGCCAAATGGATAGCAAAGGTAGAACTGGAATTCAAAGAAAGGTCTGTTAGGATGATGTGAGCTGGAACCCACTCTCTTTTCATTCTATCACTCTACCTCCCCTCAGTGCCCACCTCCCCTGCCACCTGGAATCCTTTCTCTTATCACTGTATGTCTGAATTCTACTTGCTATTTAAGATTCACTTCAAATGAAACTCATCCATGAGAAATGCTGTGAGAGTTTGACCAAGTCCCACCCCTGAACTCTTATACACATTTATGTACACATCCATGGCAGTCATCCGTCTCTACCCAGCACTGTAGTTATGTATGTACTTTCCTTAGCCCCCTCTAGTTCTTCGAGGTCAGAGTCTATGCAGGATTTTTCTACTTGTCTCACATACATTACATGTTACAGGCATAAAATGGTTTATGAATGGATGAAAGGCAACTGAATTCATGAGAATTACAGAATAAGTTTAGAGAGAGAGAACCAATGGGCTGATGACCATTTCCTGCCAATGTCCAGCAACAAATTTTGGCTATTAGTGAAAGAGCAAGAAAGAAAAAGGGGGCTTCCCTGGTGGCGCAGTGGTTAAGAATCCGCCTGCCAATGCAGGGGACACGGGTTCAAGCCCTGGTCCGGGAAGATCCCACATGCTGCAGAGCAGCTAACCCTGTGCATCACAACTACTGAGCCTGCACTCTAGAGCCCGAGAGGCACAACTACTAAGCCCACGTGCCACAACTACTGAAGCCCATGCGCCCTAGAGCCCATGCTCTGTAACAAGAGAAGCCACCGCAATGAGAAGCCTGCGCACCACAAGGAAGAGTAGCCCCCGCTCGCTGCAACTAGAGAAAGCCTGCACACAGCAACAAAGACCCAATGCAGCCAAAAATAAAATAAATAAATAAAATAAATAAGTCAAAAAAAAAAGAAAGAATAAAAAAGGAAGGAAAAGAGAGGAGAGATGAAGAAAGGAAAGGAGGGGAAAGAAAGGGAAAGTAGGAGAAGGGAAGGAAAAAAATAACAGCGAGGGAAGGGAAGAGAAGACACTTCCAGAGATGCTTATAACTAGAGAGAGATGAATAAATTAAAAAGATGAAAAATGGTCGGAGGGAAAAATGATAGTGGGGTGCTGCAGCTCTTAGCCTTCTTTTTCACTCTAACATGTATCAAGAATGAATACGAGTATCCGTGAGGCCATGTTACAGTACCCACCTCTCCCATTCTTCAGGATTGCGGAGGGACTCCCTGATGAGAGAATTGAAGATGTGAAGATAGGAGGTTTTCCTATATAGAGTGTAAGTGGGATCCATCATGATGAGTCCCAGAGGAAAAGAAACATATGGGATGACTCGGAGCTATTTTCTTAAGCTCAAGTGGTAGGTGAGTTTCTATATTATATGGCTTAATTCACCAGAGTGGAGAAACATCTAGAGAGACAGTGGTCCACTTCTTTCAGCCCAAACATGTGTAAAAGCCATAATTCATTTGTTTAGATTCTTATGGTAAGGTAATTTACTTAAATCTTGATCTTAGGAGATAATCTGAATTTCTCTAAGGTCAGTATACTGACTCCTACCAGAGGACACAGCTGGGGAACTGGAGAGGGCGTATGATCTGGAATCTGAACATGGGCTCAAGTCCTGACTCTAGGGTGTGTCCTCTGGCAAGTCACTTAATTCTTTTGAGTCTTCATTCTTTATTTGTCATATGGAAATAAAAATAAGGCCTGTTGTTTCTTTCTTTATTCACTCAAGACAGACTGATTGAGTATACTCTACACTATATATTAGGCACTGGATTTGTTGGGGCCGGGATTACTGAAGACAGAATTGAGATATGTATGGAAACCTTCTGCAAAATGCAAAGCACTTTCAAGTGCCAGTTAACAGTTACTATAAAGATGGTTGTGGTACTATGTCCCAGTCTTAGAAATAAACATATTTAACATTAGACCTAGCATCTTCCTCCTGAAACTGCAGTTGGCTGTGGTTTATCTAATCCTTTGTAAATGATTTTTCCTTAAATTCTTACCAGTGATACAGAGATGATTATTTGACTTATAATTCGAATATGATTTGCTTGGGAAAAACAGTATCCAGAACTTGTCTTAATAATAAATAGTTTTTTAAAACTCTACGAAAGTAGGAATATGAACTGTAGGCACATTTAAAGGAAGCCAAGGATAGTCTTTTAACTTTAAAAGGATGACTCTGTGGCAAGTGATTGCCCAAGGTATAATGAGTTCAACAAGCTCATTCTTGTGTGATTTCTAAAGCCAACTTCATATTTGAATAGTGAAAGGGATCCTTTCCGGTAAACTGAATTTTCTGGGTGAACATGATGCAAATGACAACCTATCTTGACTTAAACAGGTTTTTAAGGTACAGAAAATATTAGCAATTGAAATTACTGGTAGAAAGTTGCAATACTTCAGCAAATCATATTTATAAATTATTTATAATAATTTGGGGCAAGTTAAAAATTTATGGAAGTTCCTATAGTCACAAAAAGTAATAGCAATAATTACATATTTTGGCCTTGAAAGTGGTACTTTAATAATCATAAGTAGATTAATAGGAAGAAAAATTTGAATGTTGTATTAAACTAAAAGCTTTCTATTCATTAGATGTACCAAACATAAATATTTTAATTTTATCTTAATGGAGATGACATTATTATTATCATTATCATTATCATCATCATTATTTTAGTGCTTTACTGGTTCTCTCTAGAGCCTAATCATTAGGGCATATACTTAAGAACTGTAGTTCCTAGAACTCGGTAGCCTATTCCATTTACTCAGAAAAATAATAAATGGCAGAATGACATAAATGTAAATCTTATGCTCTTAAAAACAATTATTTTTACAGAAATTGGAATAGTAAAACTAAGTAGCAAAAACCAAAATGGAGTATTAAACCTTTATTTTTACACACATTTAATTGTTCTCTCCTGCCCATAAATTACAAAATATCTTGATTTGCAGTGGAACCCAATCTGTACTGAAAAGTAGTGTGACTGACTGCAGCTTCAGGGATATTTCTTTTACGAACAGGTTAAGATGTTTCCGACTTTGGAAATATCAAAACTCCCCTTTCTTGGAATCATTTATAGGTCACTATCAACTTTGGAGCTGGGATAATTCTGTTCACACCAAGGGGGCTTTTCCTGAATTCAGATTCTTTTTTGTTGTTTTCAGTATGTTTACAGACACGATTATGCCCACAGGTAACAGGAAACCAGTGTTTCAAAAGAAAATTTGATCACACTGCTAGATAACACAGGTATCCTAAACAAGTACACGAATGCCTCAAGGCTTCAAGCTGCTGCCAGAAAGACATATTTTTTGGATTGGTAAGAACTGCCAGATGACGCTTCATGAAATATAAAGGCAAGAAAGCCTCCGAGAGAGCTCAGTAAAAGCCTTCCACCCGTCATTCTAGGAGGATAAGAGCAAGATACTGTTAACAAGTGCAGGAAATGGCTTTCGGAGTTTCAATATCAGTCTATATCTTATTCAATGGTAGGTCATTTCTTTTCGCTGTGTTAATTTTGTGTCATTGTAAAATGCGAATAGGATTTGTTTCATCTGAATTAGTGAGGAGCTGGCTTTTAGCAGTTGTTCTTCATGACAAAGATCCAAGCAAGGAATCTGTGAATTAATTTAGTTTCTTATGTAATGTATGTTCCTCTTTTAACATATTTTGACACCTCTTTTTCTGAGATCTTTATATTGTTTGTTCTATACAATTGAAGAGTAGCTGATACATATGATATGATAGTGTCCTTGTGATTGAACGAATTTATAAAATGTAATAAAATTTATGAGTTTATAAAATTTATTTCCTCTTAATAATTAATGTGTTTCTACTTTCTCTAACTATAATGTAGTGAGTGGAATAGATATGCATGAGAAACTATCAAGAAACTGCCCTTGTCAGGTTATGGATTTCAAATGTAAATGAATTAAAAATAGAACAGATGTGGGACTAGATAGAATAACTTTTGATCTGTTGCTGGTATGTAGAAGGAGGCTCACCTGCTAAAGATGCCTTCCCTCCCCCCCCCTTCACACAGCTGTGACAGCATTGACTGAAGAGGCAGCCAGGACTGTAACACCCCCAATCACAACCCAGCAAAGTAACTGGACCATTAACAAAACAGAAGGTATCTTCTTCACACTTTTGTATTTCAAGTGACTTTTTTTTTTAAGTGACTTTTTTTTTAATGTTTGAGAGAAATTTGGATTGTGATAAAAGCAACACTGGAAATTTTTAAATTATATTTTATTATTAGACGATCTTTTATCAGGATGCTGTTAAATGGAAGTGACAGGTAAATGTGTCAGCAAAGAATTCTCTTTTTAAAAGGAGGAAGTGAAGCAAATGAGAAAAAGTTGTTTTCAGTTACTGTCCTGGATGTGAAACATGCCACATTTTCGGCTTGATTCCTGCTGGATTCCCAATAACCCATGTGCTTCCAGAGGCAGTTTGTCCCTATTTTGGCATTCTTGATGAGTGACTTTATAGTTTGATCTGTGATTGTGAGCTTTGCAGCCAAATAAATTATGGCTACCAGATGAAGCCTTAATCCACTTTCCCTCATCTTTGGAAAGATCTTTCTTCTTGTCATCGGGAGCTTTTGTTGTTGCTTTAGTATATGCTATACATCCCAACCACTTGTATCCAATTTTTGTTGTTGATGGTGATGATATATTTTATTATTGTTATTAAAATAGCTTCTGGCCACTGTTGAGCATCAGCGTTTTCCCAAACTCTTTGAACTCTTAGAGGTGACCTTGGGAAACTTACCTGCCAAGACCTGTGTATCAGGTGGTTGTGATTCTCACACAAATCACATACCACCCCCTGATGTGAAGATGGGCTTTGTGACTTAGGACCAAAGAAACACCATATCTTGCTCTCAGAGCCACGCAAGTAAAAGAAGATCAAGTTAAATATTTTGTTTCTGAATATGAAAGATAGTAATATTTAAGTATTCTTCATTTCACCAATAATTTTAAATTAAAAAAATTTGCTTAGGGCTTCCCTGGTGGCGTAGTGGTTGAGAGTCCGCCTGCCGATGCAGGGGACACGGGTTCGTGCCCCGGTCTGGGAGGATCCCACATGCTGCGGAGCGGCTGGGCCCGTGAGCCACGGCCGCTGAGCCTGCGCGTCCGGAGCCTGTGTTCCACAACGGGAGAGGCCACAACAGTGAGAGGCCTGCGTACCGCAAAAAAAAAAAAAAAAAAAATTTTTTCTTAAAATATTTTGCTCATTTGAGTTTTTGCATATATATCAATATGCAAAATAAAATTAGTGTGGCTTTTAGAATAACTTTTAGCCAAATTCTTCATGTCTTGAGCCTTTAAACAAAGAGGAAACATCTTTGTTGAGAGATAATACTGTAGAGAATTAAAGAAGTACAGTTTCCTCTCAGTGACATAACAGTGTGTCCATCACCACCTTTTCTCTTCCCTAATAGTGAACTGCAAGTCAAATTCTCCAAGTTACAGGTAATAATTATGGACAAAAGGGACTGAATATATCACTTCAGTAGTTTTTCTTTGCTTTCTTGATGGGTGAATTTTAGTTCCCTGCTTTTCATTTAACTTAAAAATCTGAATCCAGTATCTCAGGAAAGTTTCATGAAGTTATAACTAATATTCTTCTCCTTAGAGGAAAGATGAGTCTCTAGTATATTCTTTCTTTGGAAATGTCTTCTTTCAATTCTCACATTTTCTAGTAAGTCCTGGTTCAGGCTTGGTTAATTGAACTTATTTAATCTTGAAGTAGGAAGAACCTACCACAGTTTATAATGAGAAATTCCCACTCCCTTAGAATTAATTATCAAGATGAGAAATTAGATTTACCATACCACAGTTAACAAAATGAATATGAATTTTAAGGTAATGTTGTGTGTTCTCAACCAAAATGAAGTTATATAACAGTATGTTGTTGGTGACTTAGTACCTAAAGATTTAGTATTTTCAATATAAATAGGTATGCCTTTTTAGATCTTTTTCTCCTGAAAACAAATAAGTATGATTCTCTTAATCTGCTTAGCAAGGTGAATATAATATGATAACTAAGGTTGAGGAGATATGTTTATTCATAACAGTGACAAAAATAAAATGCCACTAATTCTTCTTGAGAAGAATTTAAGAATCAGTAATTAAAGTATACTAAAAAGGGCTCATTTATGCTGTTTTGTCATTCCCACTGCATAAACCTCAAGGATAGTATAGGTATATGTCTTTAGTACATCAAGGAATGAAGGATAAGCATCCTGAAATCTAAGTATTTTGCCACAGTACAGCTTCCCAAAGGGAAGTTTCCCATAAAGAGGCTTCTGGACACTTGACCACAAAGGTTTCGCCAAGTGTGGTCATTTGCATAGTGTTAAAGCTAGAAATCAAAACCCAGGTTTTCTGATTCCAACTCCATGGCTTTTCCCACAATCTCATAATGCCTCTTAACTGAGTAAATTTTCTAATTAACATCTGAAGTTATTGTCTTGGCTATGTAAAGCCTGAGCCGTAAGTTGTTTCTGGCTTCATGTATAGGTCATAACAATACCTCTTCTGAAATCAGTTAGGGAAAACAATCCCTTTTCCATTAGCTACTTAAGGTAGTCTGCATAAGAAGAAGGGGGGATTCTCATCTCACTCTTCTCTGGGGAATGAAAAGAAATCAAGTTCATTATCTCCCAACCATAAATCCAAATCTTCCTAAGTGCTTACTTCTCAGGTGTAAAGGGGAGAATGAAAAAAACTGTATTATTTCATTTGTTTCCAGGCATATATTTAGGAAGCCTTGCCCAGGACAGCATGCTAAGACTAGAATCAATGCTGCCACCTTTTGGCAAACTTGTATCTATATCTTATTACATAGTTTCCAAAGAATGGAATGATCATCAATCTACCTCCAGCCCCTCATTCATTAATATGTCTTAGATGATATTAACCCAACCTTTGTAAATATAACCTGTCAAAGGAATCAATCGATAGTTCAAATGACAGAGCACTCAAAGAATACTCCTAAAATTAAAGGCCTTTCTGTATATGTGTTACAAATCTACTGTGGAAGTGTGACCCACCTCATCTGTTAATACTGTATCTCCTTTTTCTAGCTGGCTACACAGAAGGACCCCTAGCGTTGAGGTTCTCACATCCTTGCCTGGAAGACCACCATAGTTACTGCATCAATGGTGTTTGTGCATTCCACGATGAGCTGGAGAAAGCCATCTGCAGGTAATTGCAAAGAACTTCCCAAGCCCTAGAGATGGGAGAAGGAGAAGGTATGCCTCCTTTCACATGGTGTTTCACATAGTACATTTCCCCACGCCTCCATCTTATCTAGTAAAAAAGGTACATGATCTGAACGTGATTCACCAATTCTCTTTGTATTTGAATATCTAAGGGGTCTTTTTCTAACCTACCTAGTTTTCATTACTCAAAAATATGGTTCCTAGATTAGCAGCATCTGTATAACCTGGGAGCTTGTTGAAAATGAAGAAGCTCACACCGTACCCCAAAACTACTGAATCCAAATCAACTTTTAACAACATGCAAAGAAGTTTCCAAGTTTTTATGGATAGATTATAGGATAAAATGAAACAGACTATGGCAAAAACACTTCAGGAATATAAAGTTCTAGATCAACTGAGATACCATTTTTATGATCGTTGATTTGCTCAGCATCCTCCTATGAAAGAGTAGGTTAACAATTTTCTAGATCAACTCATGCAAGTGTCCTACCTTTCCCTCCTACCAATGAGGGAAGTTGCATTAATATGGGGTCTTAATCAAGCGATTATTGTAAAACACATGGCTTCTTCAATACATTTAATAGATTGGCTTTCATTTGGTATTGGCCTCTTTAATTAAAATCACTTTTTATTAAATCTTTTTCATTCTTCGAAATTTGTCATTTGTGTTTCTATCATGAGTTTTAAAATTATACATTCTTTTCTTTTTTTAAAGGTGTTTTACTGGTTATACTGGAGAAAGGTGTGAGCACTTGACCTTAACTTCATATGCTGTGGATCCTTATGAAAAATACATTTCAATTGGGATTGGCGTTGGATTATTATTAAGTGGTTTTCTTGTCATTTTTTACTGCTACATAAAAAAGAGGTATGAAAAAATACAAATTATGAAGTCACTAGATACTCATTCATTTGAGAAATATTCACTGAGCCCCTACAATGTACCAGGCACTGACATATATAATTTTTTAGTGAAAATATGGCTGTAAATCTGGCAAGTTTCTGCATAACTGTTTTGATGCCTTTTCTCATAAACCCAGACAAGAGGTAAAAATTTACCCACAGTTGCAATAGGATAGTTCCAATTTACAGTTTCCCTTCATCCCCAACTCTGTCTGCCTACATCAAAGTTATAAATGTGTAGGACAGTCGGCCCACAAGGGTAAAGATTAATGTGTTTTGTGCACAATTATATGAAGTGTCGAATACCATGTCTGGCACACCATAGACACTCAGTAATTATTTGTTGAATGGACAAATCAAAACATGAGTGTTAAATGAATGAAAGTGTGTGATAAATGTGGGCCATTTTCTTCCCAGACATTAGTTGAGGGTATATTCAGGAGATACTGTCTACTGTTAAAAGCTAAACAAGATAAATTTGATCCACTAAGTATAAATTACTCATGCATTAATTATTAATCATTATTTCTGGCTTTTCCACACTGGTAATTTTTCCTTTAATCCATGTATAGGGAAAAGTCAAGAAATAATGTGATATACATTAAAGAAAAGGTATAAATACATTTCCCTTGCTGTACTCCATTAACTAAGTTGTCATTTTTTAAATGACCAAAAATTATTATACAACATTAAAAAAAAATTGCTTGCTTAATAATTGCATCTCAGAGGGCTTCCCTGGTGGCGCAGTGGTTGAGAGTCCGCCTGCCGATGCAGGGGACACGGGTTCGTGCCCCAGTCCGGGAAGATCCCACATGCCGCGGAGCAACTAAGGCCGTGCGCCATGGCCGCTGAGCCTGCGTGTCCGGAGTCTGTGCTCTGCAACGGGAGAGGCCACAGCAGTGAGAGGCCTGCGTACCGCAAAAAAAAAAAATTGCATCTTAGAATAAAATCTGTTAATATCAATTGTGGATCAATTGATATAAAATCTGTTATATCAGTTGCCTAAGAGACCAAGAAAGAAAATAAAAAAGGAAGTAAGACCTTTTAATATTAACAAGACAGCTGTCTGGGATCAGGTTCCCTAGAAGCTGAACCTAAGATAGAGATTCCTGACTGAGTGATGACTGGTCAAGGGAATGCTCAAAGGTGAAATCTGTAATGAAGTAGGAAAGCTAGAACAGAGGAAGAAGGTAAGCAAAGATGTAGTTTAGCTGAAGTCTATCCTCAGCCTGATTCCAAAGGGAGACCTAGAACATGACTGGCATCGCTGACCCACCCCAAGAAGGTGAGGGATCTTGGTTGTAGTACCCAGCATCATCAGGCATGGATGTCAGAGTGCTCCTGGCAGGGTAAGGGGCAGGGGCTTGGAATCTCCTAGGAATCTCCAGGCAAAGTCCTCTCTTGGCTGAGGACAATCTTCTAGAGAAGGATGGTACTGTGAGCCTTATTAACACCCACAACTGCTGGGGAATGGGGATACCAGTGGGTAAAGAGGATATGGGTGGGATACCAAGAGCAATTGCTACACCAGAGCATTTATATAATCCTCAATAAGCTATACAAACAGCAAATTCATATGAAAACCAATACTCTGTTTCAGGTGTCTAAAATTGAAATCACCTTACAATGTCTGTTCCGGAGGAAGACCACTATGAGGCCTTTGTAAGAAATTTTCATGAGTCATTGGTGAAAATCAGTGGGCCCAAAACTGAAATTTTCAAGTGAAACAACAAAACTTCCTAAGCTGACTAGAAAGTTGGGATCACGATGAAACAAGAGAATAAATTTCAACATTGGTCCTTAGACTTTGCCATTTTTAAAGTGCCATGGGAGCCAAGGGAACAAGGTACAGTAACAGAGGTCAAGTTCACAGTCCTACTCTGGGTTTGTTGCTGTTGTGTGATTATTGTTCTCACTGCAGAGAGACTTGAGTTTTGTGCTTCTGACTATGTCAGATGTGAATTTTCATGGGAATAATTATCAACCTTGCGGCCAGCCAAAGCAATGCCAAGCTTGGATTCTTCACTATGCTTGCTACCAGGATTCTGGACCACTGCTCTACGGACCAAATCCCAAACACGATGCTTTCGTGGTGTCTAAAAGAATGTGATGTCAGCTATTCAGATGAGATTCGTATTATGGCACCTCCAGTGAACCAAACTTATGATTAAAGTCTAAGCTAGAGAAAAGAAATGGAATGTCCAAGGCAAACATAATGATACCCAACTTGTGACGACACTGTGAAATATGGAATAAGCTAAAGAGTTTCTGATGACTGAAAGCTGCCTGGATATTGAGCCCTGAGGAGGCAGAAAGTTTTTGTTTCTGCATGGATTATAAAATTTTATGTTGGGCTCACTGGTCTCCGAATGCTTATGTTCATCACTTTCTCCTATTGTTAGTGGAATTACCTGGCGATTATCTATTTGGACTGAAATTCTAAAATTCTACTAACAAATAAAATTCTACAATTGGCTCTGAAATAGAAACTGAAGAACATGACATAAGAATTTTTCACCAGCCAACAGCGGGTGGAAATTTTCTTTACCATTTCTGGGTACCGGAGAGAAGATGTGCACAGAGGGAGAGAAAACGGAATATTGGTAGAAATAACAATTTGAGAATTAGGGTCCTTCCTCTCTAATCATATTTCTTCCACCTAATTCGAATAGTCGTGTTCAGGTCCCTTAATTTCTTTGGGCTTTGATCAGTTTCTACAAGGTCCTTCTAGCTCTAAAATTTGATTGTGACAGAAGAGAGAATATTTTCCACCTCTCAGCTCCATCTCTGTCCCTGACCTCACCTCTCACCCCACTGGATATCATCTTAGGTGTATATTTTATTATTTGGTTTGTAAAATAATAATTTAAGAATTTGTTTTTAAAGGAAGTAAAACATGAAATTAAAAATAATAATATCTACCATTTTTCTTTTAGATTCAATCTAAGGCTATGGACTTTTTTTCTATTGTGGTGTAGATAAGCAAAATAATTTTGATCATGAGATGGGTTAAAAAAAGATCGAACATGAATATTCTTACAATGGTAGCCTAGTAGCAAGCCTTTCTCTTATATCAAGTTGTGACTTTTCATTCACTTCTAAACAAAACTACATTCTGCTTTCCTTTGAATAGAAGGCATTTCACTTGCTTTGTTTTTCCTTCAGAAGGAATTTAATGCAGATGAATTGCATGTCAGCACTTTCTGCATGACCTCACAAAGTATGCAGAGGTTACATCATACCAAGGAGTGGGGAGATGAAGGTTCCTCCCAGTGACTCCAGTGACCGCACCTAGAAAGCTGGGCTTTTCCTGAGCATTTCAAAAAGGTGTTAAAAAGCTGGGTAGAGTCCAGGAAGAAACACTAAAGCTTAATTAAGGACTGCCTCCCGTTGAAAAGAAGAGGAAGTAAGGGTAGAGTCTGGGGAGGTGATAACCTAAAAAGTTATAACATTTGCTGTCTATAAATATTTCTAAAATGTAAACATAATTGAATTGATATTAATCAACAAATTAAAATTCCCAGAATGCCAAACCAAAACATAAAACCAATAGAAATTCAATTTTCTTCACCTGTGGAAGAGTATACATTAACATTATAAAATCCACCCAGTGAGACTACATATATGTAAATTTATTTATCTATTTATTTTTATAAATTTATTTATTTATTTATTTTTGGCTGTGTTGGGTCTTCGTTGCTGCGCGCGGGCTTTCTCCAGTTGCAGCGAGCAGGGGCTACTCTTCATTGAGGTGCACGGGCTTCTCATTGCAGTGGCTTCTCTTGTTGCAGAGCACAGGCTCTAGGCGTGCAGGCTTCAGTAGTTGTGGCACGTGGGCTCAGTAGTTGTGGCTCGTGGGCTCTAGAGTGCAGGCTCAGTACTTGTGGCTCAGGGGCTTAGCTGCTCCACGGCATGTGGGATCTTCCTGGGCCAGGGCTCGAACCGGTGTCCCCTGCATTGGCAGGTGGATTCTTAACCACTGCGCCACCAGGGAAGTCCCTACGTATATGGAAGTTTACAGTGTAGCTCATGAGAAGCCATCTGTTTATGGTCCATCATACAAAAGAATCTTGTGATAAACTCCTAGAGTTCATTTTCCGGAAAGGAATCCCTGGCATTTCTATGGCAATATTTACACATGTAAGCAGGCCTTAAGTAGGAAAATGCATAAGTATAAGATGTTCTGCAAATTTTTCATTTTCTCTTTTTTCCTATATGCAATAAGACCCTGAAAAAAGCCTACCAGTGAAGCCCTGGCATCAGAACTACATTTTCAGCTATTAGGTGAGGTGGGTCATTTAGGAAAGAAATGAGAACATGTTTCTGGCATCTTTGACTAAATCAAACGGGCCAAGGGGTTCATCAATTTCTTTTATTTCCCATTTTGTCTCCTTCCTGTGTCTGCCCTTCAGTTCTTGAGAACACATTCTTAGGTCATCGATATTCATGAGTGAGTCATTAGTTAGCCTTTTGGAGCATAATGGCTGCGGGAGCAAACACTATAACTTCAGTCATGCTTGAGTGAGTAAATTTACAAAAAGGGAATTATAACTGCTTGTTATTGTATCTTCTTTCTCCAAATTACTTTTTTGTATAATTATGTTTTTATAATGTTGGAAAGTAGATGAAATCATAACACATTCCATCTTTTAGTGTTTCCTGGCACAATACAACCCTTAATTATGAAACATCTATTTTGATGATGTCAAGAAGATTTCTATTCATTATATGTAATTGAAAAAAAATGTCTGACTAATTTAACCTTTTGATGTTGAACACAGGATGATTCGCCACAGAGGACATGAGTAAACCATTTAACTTCTCTGTCTTACAAACTGTAACACATTCTGTGGTATGATATAAATATTGATATCCTACAACTCATACTCATGGGAAGGGTTACCAGAATCTCTCTGTCGCAAAATACCACTCTTTCTGGCTTACCTCATGACTGCATGACATCAGGATATTAGCAGTTGCCAAGATGAGCTGGAAGTGTTGGAATTTAATTTGTGAGCCTGGCACTGCTATCTGCATGAGTCCACATTTCTGTCCAACCTTTTGGCACAGCTCTAGTCAGTAGCATATTCAGAAGCATATCTTCCAAATTCAGCTCCAAATTTCTGTGACATGTTCAATGAATGCACAACTCAGAGTGCAAGGGCCTAAGTAGTCAACATCCTAAGAATTCAAAGGCTAGACTCCTTGAGAATACCCACATGAATAAATGTGTCCCATCTGGACATTTCACTCCTCTGCCAAAACTAAACACGAGGGCTGTCATAGATCGTGGAGAACACCCACAGCTTCCAGAGAAGCATCTCCTAAAGATTAGGAATGCGATGATATGGTAACAAGAAGACTTGAATTGTTCAATCGGGTCTTATCTCTATACTTCATGGCCTTTCTTGGTAATTTTTATGTCTCAGATAATATTGGAGCAGAAGTCATTTAGATTGAAATTCCGTTAAGACCATAGCCAAGCAGGTATCAAACTAGCAGTGTTAAGAGAGTGTTAATTAGGCTTCCCATCTCTCTGGGAAAAAAAATGGCATACACAGATTTTTTTAATTGCACAAAAATATTGATTCAATGTTAAGTCCCTTCACAAAGCAAGCTGAAGTAATAGTGTAATATGGCTATCATTTGTAAACACTTATAATATTTGAAAAGCATTGTTAGCTTTGTTTTAATTAATCCACACCTATATGTAATTGAGGCTTAGAGAAGGCAATTCACTTTTTCAAGGTCACATAGCCTTTAAGTGGCAGAGCCTAGACATGAACCAGATAGATCTAATGCCAAAGTCCCTGATCTAAACCCTAGATGATAATGCTTCCCAATATTTTATGAGAAATACTAGTGTTGGGGGTTGGTTTCTTGATGAGCTTGGAGATACACCCAAGAGATTTGTATACAAATGAAAAAAAGTTCTTTTCTTTAAAATATATAAAATAATGACCTTTGTCATGGATCAACCACAAAAATTCCCTGCTGTCATCTGCAGGTTATTAAAATATGCAGCAGATCTTCCTTAGGGTGGGGCCAGGACAAGCGTCAAGTACCTGTTGACAGTTGAATGTACAGTCTGGGGAGAGACTTTAGACTGTAAATGAACCCTGGTTTATCCTCAGGACATACAGAATGAGGTGGTCATTTGGGAACACTTGATCCCTGTTTGTGGACAAGGGTTTGCTGGTACCAGTGTTATCCTAACTGGGACACTCTTGGTTCAGTTTGGTAATGAGATGACGAGTGAGTGTTTTTCACATCTATAGGAAAATCTCATCAACCTCCTTCCAACACATCACTCTCAATCCTACCCTAGTGCCATATATACCTTAGAGAAAAACAGTCAATGGTAGTGGTCCAGCTTGGGGCAAAACCTGGAAGCAACATTAAAAAAAATCTGCAATGGATGGACACTTCAAGGACCTGTGATCTAGTCTGGCTGTATGATTGTCTAATTTTGCTGGGGCCCTTTGGACAGGCTATCCTTGTCTGTTAAGTGAAGAAGTTATACTCTAGAGGTGACTTCCACACTCCCTTCCTAGTCGAAAGTCATATGTTGAAAATGTGCAGCCTAAAAGGCAGATCCAGTCCACAGGCATATTTCCTTTGGCTTTCATGATGTTTGTTTTAAATCAAGCCCATATTTAGAAATCAAGCTGTTTTAGTATAAAAATCCAGCTTTTCTAGATTCTAGAAAAATAGGAGATATAGGGGATGTCTTAGAAAAATAGGAGATAGAGCTCTGACCCTGTATTCTTACATAGCTTTGATCAGAAGGAGTGCGCCCTTGACATCCAGCCTGCTTCTGTCACTATGCTTCCCATTCAGGGTTCCTATAGACCTTGAAGTCTGCCTCCATGGTTCTTTGATTGGATTAATTTTAAGATCCTGCCTCATCTAAATTCCTCTGAGTCTAGTCATCAGAGTACCTGCAGAGGGCCTTGTTGTACTGAAAACCACTCAAGCCATAAAAGAATCTCAGATTCTTTAGGAGAACCCACACTCACCTGGAAGCTGGCAGGGGCAGCATCCAATGACTCAGACTCTCTGCCCTGCCCATGCCCTCAGTCACTCTCTGCTACAATCTTTGTCAGATTTGTTTTCTCAGTGTTCAATCCTGCTTGTGTTAACTCCCTGCTCAAAACCAAACCTGATTCCCCGTTGCGCACCATGTTTAACAAAGGCTCCCCTCCCAGTAGTGTGAGGCCTTCCATAGGGAGGCTCTGGTGGTCTCTTTCTCATGTACCCTCCAAGGGCTCCCTACTCAGACCATCAGCTGCAGCCACCAGCTGCCCTCTGCTCTCTGAACAGACCTCACAGTTCCTATCTCTGTGTTAGGGTCTCTG